ATTTCTATCAGCATGTCACATGTGCAACCAGAGGGAAGAAAAACTCTAGACCACCTTTACTCCACACACAGAGATGCGTACAAAGCTCTCCCTCGCCCTCCATTTGGCAAATCTGACCATCATTCTATCCTCCTGATTCCTGCTTACAAGCAAAAACTAAAGCAGGAAGCACCAGTGATTCACTCAATACGTAAGTGGTCAGATGACGTGGATGCTATGCTACAGGACTGTTTTGCTAGCACAGACTGGAATATGTTCCGGGATTCATCCAATGGCATTGAGGAGTATACCACCTCAGTCACCAGCTTCATCAATAAGTGCATCGACGACATCATCCCCATAGTGACCGTACGTACATATCCAAACCAGAAGCAAGAGATGCCGCTTTCAAGGAGCGGGATACTCATCCGGACGCTTATAAGAAATCCTGCTATGCCCTCAGACGAACCATCAAACAGGCAAAGCGTCAATATAGGACTAAGATTGAATCCTACTACACCGGCTCTGACGCTCGTCGGATCTTGCAGGGCTTGCAAACAATTACGGACTACAAAGGGAAACCCAGCCGCGAGCTGCCCAGTGAAGCAAACCTACCAGACAGGCTAAATGCCTTTTATGCTCGCTGCGAGGCAAGCAACACTGAAGCATGCATGAGAGCACCAGCTGTTCTGTACGACTGTGTGATCACGCTCTCCGTAGCCGATGTGAGCAATACCTTTAAACAGGTCAACATTCACAAGGCCGCGGGGCCAGACGGATTACCAGGACATGTAATCAGAGCATGCGCAGACCAACTTGCAAGTGTCTTCACTGACATTTTCAACCTCTCCCTGACCGAGTCTATAATGCCTACATGTTTCATGCAGACCACCATAGTCCCTGTGCCCAAGAAAGTGAAGGTAACCTGCCTAAATGACTACCGCCCCATAGCACTCACGTCGGTAGCCATGAAGTGCTTTGAAAGGCTGGTCATCAACACCATCATCCTGGAAACCCTAGACCCACTCCAATTCACATACCGCCCCAACAGATCCACAGATGACGCAATCTCAATCGCACTCCACATTGCCCTTTCCCACCTGGACAAAAGGAACACCTATGTGAGAATGCTGTTCTTTGACTACAGCTCAGCGTTCATCAGCATAGTGCCCACAAAGCTCATCACTAAGCTAAGGACCCTGGGACTAAACACCTCCCTCTGCAACTGGATCCTGGACTTCCTGACGGGCCGCCCCCAGGTGGTAAGGGTAGGCAACAACACATCTGCCACGCTGATCCTCAACACGGGAGCCCCTCAGGGGTGCATGCTTAGTCCCCTCCTGTACTCCCTGTTCACCCACGACTGCGTGGCCAAGCATGACTCCAACACCATCATTAAGTTTGCTGACGACACACCGGTGGAACTGTATTGTTGGTTAAGGGCTTGTAAGTAAGCATTTCACGGTAAGGTCTACACCTGTTGTGTTCGGTGCATGTGACAAATAAAAATGGATTTGATTTGATCTTGGGTCAAAAAACTATTCAATGTCATGGTATGATTGCTGCAATTTTCTGTTACAATGATTATTATTATCTCAACCAATACATTGGCATCTTAACCAATATATTGGTTATCTCAACCAATACATTGTTTGGGTAACAGTTTAGTTGTCTTTATGTCTTATAGTAACTGAGTAGCTACTTTGGTATGTCAAACATTTTATTACTCAGATAAAGATAGCAACTAGATAAGCTTTTGGCTGTCATATCAGTTACTAGTTACTATGTAATTACACAAATACAAGATAAGTTAAATGTTATGGTATTTGTTAAACTTAATGGGATTTTGGTCAATATTTGTGTTGAAGTGTATAAGAATGTAAACCTAGATTTGGGATTAAGACCTGTCTGTGTCCTGAGTCCTTTAATCCTTCACACCTACTGAACTACACAAGACATGACTAGTATAACACAGTTTGGTTAAAATGAATGAAAGGAATGTTGGTAGGCCTAAGCCTTTTCCTTGAACAGAAAGCTGGACAGACAAACAAACAAACAGTCATAATCTCATAATCATTCCACACCCAATGATGGGTTGTACCAGGCACAGACAGTGATGAGGAGGTAAACCTCAGTATTTCGTAAAAACATCACCCTATTGGTACACTTTGTCCCATGGTACTTTTCATCACAGCACTGCACATCTACATACACCTGGATAATCAGATGCACAGTCTGGCCGTTGGATGTTGTAGCTAAACCCCTTTTATTAGTTTCCCACATCTGAAGAATCAGCCCTCTGTTGATCGTGCCCCCATGGAGACAGTGATAAGTAAGGGTCCATTCATTCTCACTGGGAAGGTAGAACTGAAATGCACACTATTGTACTAAACAGAGGTCTCTCTAAGCATACACATTACACAAACACAAAGCAGCACTGTTGGAAACACACTCAGGTAATACCCAGAATCCTTCACGTTTGCAAATAAAAGGACATCCCTGAAACTCTGTCCACGTAGAAATCTGATTATGGGATGTAATTCTCTTGTCGGTGTAGGAAGTGCATGCCCCAGGGATGGATAGTGGTTCACTACAGACGAAATGGTATCAGAATTAAATGAAGACAGGAATAACTTTAAAGGGCTCTTTAACTACACAGGGGTAAACTGTGGTAGTACTAGACAAATAAATAAATATATCACCCATTAAGGATAATGAGAAAGTTAAAGACGGGGGACTCTGGGACAGGGGTATTGTTCTCTAGGAATAGCTGGCCGCTCCCACAGGGTAGTCAGAAGTTTACAGAGAAGGATGTTTGGCTGATAAGAGAGGAGGATTAGACACACAAGGTCACATAAGGTGATGAGTGGCATTGAAAGAGGTTTGGGAGTGAAAACATTTCATTTCACTGTCATATTCAAACTCCAATTCTTTCCAATTGGTTGATGTTGCTACTACAAAGACATGACGAAAAGCACATTGCCAATGTAAAAATCATCAAGGCCCACTCAGGTAAGTGCAAAAGATGACGAGACTATTATTTTGCCTGCTCAAGCTCCTCAGCGTCATTCTTGTCAGTGCTACATAAACTCATTGCTCTTTTATTGAATGTAAAAAACGCACTAGGAATCTGATATGCCAGGCCAACGATGGTTAATAAATGAAGATAGTTCACTCAGGCCGTTTACCATTGGAAAAAAAGGTCCGTTTCAATCTACTCCCATAGACAGCAATGCCTAGTCTACTTAGTTCATTGACTTTCACTGAACCAGAAAGAAACTACTGGAAAAACTGCGAGTGGGGTGTCTCGCTTCCTCTTCCCTCTTTGGCCAGGGTGCGCAGCGTCAGCAATACTTCCTGAAACACCTGCTTTTCAGGTAGTGCACAGCGGAGAGAGTGAGTCACACAAAAAAATGGACGACGAGTATCTGAAACGCAAAATTTGACTAGACTTGTCAATTTATTCTAACTTTTTCTAAACGCCTACCTCATTCTATTAAAATGGTTCGGCAACAACATAGGAGTATACGTTTGAACATTGTCGTGCTGCTGTATTTAATGGTTTGTTTTGGTGAGTACAACTCTTCTCATTTATCGAGCTCGTTTTCAATGTCACAGACCAACGAATTTGCGACACATATGAAACACACATTCGGATTGTGGGTGTTTTTATAGAATCCTGAATTTGTATCCTGTATAATTGTGTAGGGCTACTTTTTTTTCTTTTTATCCTACAGACTAATTCCTTATGAATTATTGTTAGAATTATTATGATTTATTATAATAAGCTACATGTTTACCTTCACATTTAACATAATATATTACTATGTATTTATACAACCTACAACATTCTCATTTGGGTACTAACGTTATGTATCCATTTGTGAATAGCCACTACCAAATAATTATACTGCATGTTCACAACAAACCAAATTGCGCCTGAGGCCTAGGTTCCTTACAACAGGAATGAAGTAGCCTGTCATGTGAAATTCATGAGACCCATGGCTTTGAATTGCTTTTTTCCTTGTTTTCAATTTCACTCACGTTTTGTTATTGAGTGTAAAGTAGCCTGCGTCCAATGCCAAGCAGCCATTATCTATAACTGATAATATTACTCTTGGGTGAGGTCTACTGACGTTGATCAGATTTATATAACTACTGGTTGGACAGTAGGAGGAGTCATTTCCTGTATGTTTGAGACATATGGGGATACATGCTATGGGCTCAATGGGTTGCCAACTTTCCCATCAACAATTAGAATGTCAACCGCTATCAAGCATCTGCTGCTCCAAAGGCTCTTCAGCTTGAAATACTTATTTTTTTTTGATTAGCTTGTTCATTCTTGGTCCACTTTACTCCAAGGTCTATTGAAATAGCGCTGGATGTCTGCATACCCTATTAACCCTCTGATTCTGCTCTGTAATTTAATTTAATTTTAGATCACTCAAATATTTGTAGATCACAGTACTCAGACTGTCTCTGTGTCCTTAGAGAGAGTTTTTTTAGTTTTTTTTTTACGTTCCTTTGAATATGTGTCCTTCACTTGTCTCTGTGGAAACGGTGTAGGAAAGCTTGAAAACATCTCTACTTGCTCCAAGGTAGAAGAATTGTAATATGTACTGTTGAAATCTGAATCTCTGAACCACATGCAGACCTACAGTATGCCGGATGTTAAATGATACGATTGCATTTCTCTGTGTGGGTTGGAGTTCACATGGAAAATACAGTATTGAATCTGTGGGGGTGGGCCTGTTTTGAAATATAACACACATAATGTAAATGTTTAGTCTTTTTTTAACATTGCACAATGCTCATCACGAGGAATATGACTACTACTGTAGGCTGTGTCGTTAATGCCATGTTTGCTGATAGTTGATGGAAAGATCAACAGCTGTTGCTGTTTGCCTGCCAATCCAGGAAGTGGTAAAGGATCATTTTACATGTGCCACTTGTACACATACACAATTTGTTATGGAAATCATTAGAAAATCAGCTCCTCCTCAATTTCTACACATTATACAATGGGTATGCAGTATTTGTTTTCTAGGCATATTCTAGGCAGATGTGCATTGCATAGGGGCTACCTGAGAAAGTAGATTTAATACCTCAGCTATTAAATGGTTGAGATTTTAATTCATTGCTTGGAATGCTTTTGGTTGTTATGTCTGTATGCTGTCAATGCCAGACTCTCAATGTCAATTAAAAGATAACAATGTAACAAGGAGAGCAAGAGAGAGAGAGAGAGAGAGAACAAGGACACTGTTACTGCTACAACTATTATTGAGTCATCTAGTAGTCTTTCCCATGGAAAATGCATTAGATTGTGTTCATTCCAATTAATGTCAGGCAGTGTAAAGGTTTGATGTTGCCATCTGGGTACTGGGTTAATACTGGGTCAACAATGTGGGCCTTTGGGGGTACCTTTGACCTTTGACATTGTGATTATACACAATTGTAAAATAAGAACTTTAGCTTTATTTTGTTTATTTGTATTTTGTTTATGTGAACTACCTTGCTCCCAAATTATTGATATTTTGACTTCCACAATGTATTTTGTTCCCAACTGGATTTCACTAAAATATTCTGTACAATTGTCTGCCCTTCCTCCTCCTGAATCTATCTTCCTCATCTGAACACCCCCCTGCTCTGTTGTCTCCCCCACAGTGCTGTGCCCTGTGTCAGCCATAACAGTGAGCTCCCCTGCAGAGGTCCATTCTGTGAGGGGCGATGCCGTCACCCTGACTTGCACCTTCACCTCCAACAGCCGAGCTACTAGCCGTATGTCAGTGGACTGGTCCTACAGGCCCCAGACCGGAGGCCCTCCGCAGGCAGTAAGTACCCACCATAGAAAATGAATCAGTATATTAAGTTGATTGTTAATAAAGCACACATTGAATGAAGAATTATTGTGCTTTTATGTCCTGGCATGGGTACACTCAATATGGCTGCCGCCGGCCCACCCATCCCGATACGTTGACTTGAATTGTAATGCCCGTTCTAGTAAATAGATATTTATATGGTACCCTTAACCCCTGGGAATATAACCCAAAAAAAATAGGCAGTTAGGGGCAGGAATCAGGATCACTCTTCCACATCTTGGTGATGTGGTAAATGTATGTTAAATGTATGCCTCGAGCTGGAAGTTACGAGTCAGGTCTCCGACCCCAAAGCTCCCCTAGATCCAATTTCCTTGTCGATACTCTGAGCGGCTGACCACGTAAGTTTTTAATTCCATTTGAAGTGGCCGATAATGTATACGCTATGTAGTTGTTGGGATATCATATCTTATAGGAGCTCTCAGCGCTAAGTTATGGCTAATGTGCTGTGGCTCCCTTAGGAGCTGTTGGTTTAGTCATTAAGATGTAGTAGTCAGGCCTGCAGCTGTGTCAGTGTTAGCAGATAGAGTGGGCTGTTACGTCACTAACACAAAATCTTTATCCTAGGGGTGTGTCTGCTTGACTGTATAAGAATAGCTGGGGTTGGTCAATACCAGAGTATAGTGGAAACCAACAAGATCCTTGGTTTCATTCCTTCATTTACTTGAACAAGTTTGTTCTGTGCAACTATAGACACATAGTGAAACGTGCAGAACTTTTCGCTGCATAGCCCAACAGAGCTAGCCAACACAACAGAGCTAGCCAACACAACAGAGCTAGAGAGTGAATTTGTCTCTCATGGCATATTTGTTTCCATCCAATTTCATTAGTGGATTCGGCCACTTATTGCCACAATCATATATCAAAAGGAACAGTGAATAAGCATTTGAAAACTAAATCATAAATATAATTTACCAGTCAAGGCTTGAGAACTATGAATTGGTGGTGTGCTTCAGTCTCCCTGCATAATTATCAATATCTTGATGAGAATTCATTTTCAGGACTGAAAGACAGCTCTAAATGGCTAATGACTCAATCATATATCAGTAGTAACGTATAGCGATGGAGGACTTGGATGGCTTGTGAGTACACCACATCAGTCACTGGCTTCATCAATAAGTGCATTGATGATGTCGTCCCCACAGTGACCGTACGTACATACCCCAACCAGAAGCCATGGATTACAGGAAACATCCGCACTGAGCTAAAGGGTAGAGCTGCCGCTTTCAAGGAGCGGGACTCTAACCCGGACGCTTATAAGAAATCCCGCTATGCCTTCCGACGAACCATCAAACAGGCAAAGAGTCAATACAGGACTAAGATTGAATCATACTACACCGGCTCTGACGCTCGTCGGATGTGGCAGGGCTTGAAAACTATTACAGACTACAAAGGGAAGCACAGCCGCGAGCTGCCCAGTGACACAAGACTTCCAGATGAGCTAAACCACTTCTACGCTCGCTTCAAGGCAAGCAACACTGAAGCATGCATGAGAGCACCAGCTGTTCCGGATGACTATGTGATCACGCTCTCCGTAGCCGATGTAAGTAAGACTTTTAAGCAGGTCAACATTCACAAGGCCGCAGGGCCAGACGGATTACCAGGACATGTACTCCAAGCATGTGCTGACCAACTGGCAAGTATCTTCACTGACATTTTCAACATGTCCCTGACTGAGTCTGTAATACCAACATGTTTCAAGCAGACCACCATAGTCCCAGTGCCCAAGGACACTAAGATAACCTGCCTAAATGACTACCGACCCGTAGCACTGACGTCTGTAGCCATGAAGTGCTTTGAAAGGCTGGTCATGGCTCACATCAACACCATTATCCCAGAAACGCTAGACACACTCCAATTTGCATACCGCCCCAACAGATCCACAGATGATGCAATCTCTATTGCAGTCCACACAGCCTTTTCCCACATGGACAAGAGGAACACCTACGTGAGAATGCTATTCATTGACTACAGCTCAGCATTCAACACCATAGTGCCCTCAAAGCTCATCACTAAGCTAAGGATCCTGGGACTAAACACCTCCCTCTGCAACTGGATCATGGACTTCCTGACGGGTCGCCCCCAGGTGGTAAGGGTAGGTATCAACACATCTGCCACACTGATCCTCAACACGGGGCCCCTCAGGGATGCGTGCTCAGTCCCCTCCTGTACTCCCTGTTCACCCATGACTGCATGGCCAAGCACAACTCCAACACCATCATTAAGTTTGCCAACGACACAACAGTGGTAGGCCTGATCACCGACAACGATGAGACAGCCTATAGGGAGGAGGTCAGAGAACTGGCCGTGTGGTGCCAGGATAACAACCTCTCCCTCAACGTGACCAAGACAAAGGAGATGATTGTGGACTACAGGAAAAAAAGGAGGGCCGAACACGCCTCCATTCTCATCGACGGGGCTGTAGTAGAACAGGTTGAGAGCTTCAAGTTCCTTGGTGTCCACATCACCAACAAACTATCATGGTCCAAACACACCAAGACAGTCGTGAAGAGGGCACGACAAAGCCTATTCCCCCTCAGGAGACTGAAAAGATTTGGCATGGGTCCTCAGATCCTCAAAAAATTCTACAGCTGCACCATCGAGAGCATCCTGACTGGTTGCATCACCGCCTGGTATGGCAACTGTTCGGCCTCCGACCGCAAGGCACTACAGAGGGTAGTGCGTACGGCCCAGTACCTCACTGGGGCCAAGCTTCCTGCCATCCAGGACCTCTAAACCAGGCGGTGTCAGAGGAAGGCCCTCATAATTGTCAAAGACTCCAGCCACCCTAGTCATAGACTGTTCTCTCTGCTACCGCACGGCAAGCGGTACCGGAGTGCCAAGTCTAGGTCCAAAAGACTTCTCAACAGCTTCTACCCCCAAGCCATAAGACTCCTGAACAGCTAATCATGGCTACCCGGACTATTTGCTTGTATAAGACATGAGCAAATCAATACAATATTAATTTAAATATAATTGCCCATGATCCATCAGGTTTTTATTTGGTGAGTCAGTACCGTTACGGTAACCACAAAGCTTTTAACCACACCCTAACATTGCACCCTGAGAGCCGGTTTCCCGGACCCAGATTATTCCAGAATTGAAAATCATCGTCAATGGAAAATCTCCATTGAAAGTGAGTTTTAGTCCAGGACAAGCTTTAATCTGGGTCTGGCTCTGAATGTTTCATAGGAACTTGGCTGTGTATAATCTGCATTTGGCTAGGTGTAACCTGTCTGAGGTAGGCCTAAGCATTTGTCTGGGTTGACTGGGTGCAGTGATAAGATTTACTGCGCTGTCAGTATCAGCCCTCTCAGCTCAATGGCTGTCTGAACTGAAGTGCCTCCAGGAGAGCCCAGCCCATACAGAGCTATAAAACAATATAACTGTTAAGCACCATTGATTGTTAACAGGCCTGCCGTGTGTTCGTCTTTGTGTATATTTTCCTATGCCGTTTATTCCCTATGTGTAGTTTGTTTTCTTCAATGTGGCTCTTTGACACTTCTTATTGTCTATTTGTCTGTGTATTACGGTCTGATGAGTACAACCCTATTTTAGCTTCAACTTTATTCAAACCCCTATTCGAAACCAGTCCCAGTCTTCTATCCCCCCATCCCCCCCCTTACTTTTCGAAACACGGTAATGGTTAGTGTGATTGATGCAGTATTTCTGTTGTCTGTGTCTTGTAAAGTGGCTCTGTAGTTGCCAAGGTCTGAGTAACACTGTCCTAACCCTATGCCCAGAGCCGTCACAATCTCTCCTCTTCTCTTTGTTCCTCAGTTCTTCCACTTCTCCTCTCTGGCGTTCCATCCGCAGGATGGCCAGTTTAACGGGCGTGTGAAGTGGCTGGGCAGCCCGGCCCGGGGCGAGGCCTCCATCCAGCTCCTCAACGCCTCCCTCAGCGACAACGGCACCTACACCTGCTCCGTCAGGAACCCACCCGACGTCCACGGATCCCCTACCTCACAGACCGTCCTCACTGTGATGCCCAAAGGTGAGGCAATTCCTCAGAGAAATTGATATTTAGGGCCATGCATTGATGTTAATGGGACATTTGAGCACATTTTCCAGTAAGAAAAAGTCAGGATTTTGCCCTTAATTGAGAGGCAGGAGTTTAGGATGTGTTAGTAAAGGTGATTGTGGGTTCACCCTATTGACCTTAGGAATGATGACGTGTAGAACATGACTGTGTGGGAATTGGGGAGATTTACTTCTCATTGGGCAGTAAAACCTACTACCTCCTGTTCAATACTGGTATAGTCGGGCGCATATTTATTGGTGCCTTTTCAAAGACTTATACAGTAGATTTAGGTACATGTGCTCTACAGATTGAGTCATATTTTTCACAAAGCTAAAACAATCCCTCTTTTAAAAGCTTTTGAGCACAGGGTGCAGATTCATTTGACAGGTTTATTAAAGCAACTGTACACGAGAGGGCGTGTTAAATTACTTTTTTAGCACGGCTGTGCTAGGTACGAGGCAGATCTCGTACCTAAAGAGATCATGGAATCTTTACCGTCTCCTGTTTGTGCTGATATTGAGTGTGTATGTAATTATGAGGAACCCTCTCCACAGTGCCCGCGGTTCGCTTTTCGGACGTGGCGGTGCTTTTAGCCTTCATCCTGCTTCCTTCCACAATCATCACGCTGGCTCTGCTGGCTCGCATGTGCTGCCCTCCGAAGGACAAGAGCCAGGTCCAGGGCTACCACTCCCCCATTGAGGTCACACACGGGTGAGTGCATTTACTCCTCAATCAGCGCACCAGTTCTTCAGGGCCTCCTAGACATATGGACATATGGCTTTAAAGAAGTGATGGTTTCTGGTGAAGGGAGCCCCCATCCCTTACTTGCTGAATGGACATTATGGCTTTTTCCCAATAAATCTTTCCTTGATTCCTTGCGTCCTCTCTCCTCGCCTCCTTCTCAAAATGCGTTGGAGAAGAGAGTCCAAGGGGAGGGGCAGTGGACCTTCTCCTTCAATACGATTGAGAAGGAGCTGAGCAGAGAGGATGCAAGGAGAGAGGTGTTGAGGAAAGATGAATTGAGAAATGGCCTTGAGCCAATATAGCAAATTACTAATGCAATTTGATTTAACCAATTTGAACTCTACCATCTTTGTGACAGAGAGGAGCCTGGCTTCAAGCAGATCCACCACAAGGAGAAAAACATGACATGCTGCGACCTATATTTGCTGGTATGGCACTTTTTTGCTCATGAATTACTTAAGGGCACATGTCTCGCCCGATCAATTTCATACTCTAAATTGTACATGTAGTCTACGTCTGACAATAAGAGATGTCTATAAAATATTGATGTTACCCCACTTCCTGTCCCTAGGATTCCGACGATGACGATTACTACACCCACAAACCGAGGCCTCCGGCTCAGGGAGAGACCATGGCCGAGTCTCAGTGCTAGACACCCCTGGTGGCGTTGCTCTATAAGGACAGCGGCCCCCTCCGTGCCTTGCCAATGGGAGGGGTTGGCCGGAATTCTCGCTTACACTGTTTGTTAAAAATGCCAAGATTCCTGGACTTGGTTCTGTGGAAGGGGCAGTCTCACACGTCATTATCCACACACACACCACACACTCACACACTCCTCCTTCTCTCATGGCTTGTCCACAGCTGATTCTACTGGTAGGATAGACATGGATCCGGTGCCTGACACACGGACACACACACGTACGTTTAGCACTATACTCTAAACATTTCTGGATCGATTTTCTTATTATGAAGGAGATGCGTATATTACTAAGTTATTGTCTGCTTTATAACTTTTGTAATTTAGAATCATTGTTTTTGTACAGCTGTTATGCAAGTTTTTGTTGAACTATCGATCTTTATGGAATCTATTGCTAGAATTCTAGACAGTCTTTACCTGTGGCTACATCTGCTTCATTGAGTCAAATTAATATCATTTTAAACATATCTTTCAGAGTTAGTGTTACATCTGAACCCGTTGGTATAACTACATTCAGGAGTGGACCAATGAGGTTGAATGAATTTACTGGATTTGATTTACATGTTGGAATTTGGATGTACAGTGTAGTGAATGTTATTGAATGCATGTATGTGTAAATTAAATTAGAATTATGCTTAATAAAATACGTAAATGTTCTTGTCCATTGGTAAAATGGTTTGTTCATTTACCATGTAAGTTGAACTACAGCACATTTTCAATAATGTTGGTCTTTAAACCTTATGTGACTTGAAATCCCCATCCATGTTGCTGATGTGAACTACACTGAACAAAAATATAAACGCAACATGTAAAGTGTTGGTCCCATGCTTCATGAGCTGAAAGTTGACAGGTTGTGGCATTTCAAGAAGCTGAATAAACAGCATAATCATTACACAGGTGCACCTTGTGCTGGGGACAATAAAATGCCACTTTAAAATGTGCAGTTTTGGGGAGTATTTCTGTCTGTAATAAAGCCCTTTTGTGGGGAAAAACTCATTCTGATTGGCTGGACCTGGCTCCCCAGTGGGTGGGCCTATGCCATCCCAAGGCCACGCATGGCTGCGCCCCTGCCCAATCATGTGAAATAAATAGATTAGGGCCTAATGAATTTACTTCAATTGACTGATTTCCTTATATGAACTGTAACTCAGTAAAATCTTTGAAATTGTTGCATTTATATTTTTGTTCAGTATAATAACCAAGAGCAGTCCAATAAATTAGTCATGAGAATATTATATTTTTTATAATAAAATAAATAACTTGTCAGATTCATTCCTCAGTCCAATTGATTTTGTCGTTTCATCCTAAATTATTTACAATACGGTTAAATAATTGTTATTTCTACCCTGTTTGAACTACCATGGCAACACATTTGTGTTGGATTCAATGATTGATAAATATCAGGGTTCTTCAATTCCGGTCCTGGAGGGCCGAAACACTTCTGTTTTTTATTTCTACCTGGTAGTTAATTGCACTCACCTGGTGTCCCAGGTCTGAATTAGCCCCTGATTAGAAGGAGAGGATGAAAAACAGGTGTTTCGGCCCTCCAGTACCGGAATTGAAGAACCCTGATATAAATCTAGATTCTAGAAGGACCACTGGTTTATGCTATTGAGTGTAACTGTATTACAGTTTGAACATCTTGATGAACAGTCTGGCCTTAATGGCCATGTACTCTTATAATCTCCACCTGGCACAATCGCCACCCCTCAGAGCCTGGTTCCTCTCTAGGTTTCTTCCTAGGTTCCTGCCTTTCTAGGGAGTTTTTCCAAGCCACCGTGCTTCTACAGCTGCATTGATTGCTGTTTGGGGTTTTAGGCTGGGTTTCTGTATAAGCACTTTGTGACATCTGCTGATTTTAAAAGGGCTTTATAAATACATTTGATTGATTGATACAGTCCAAATAATAATAATAGATTTGAGTGGCTGGCTGGCATGCAGGCCACAGTGGTGGATGGACGTCTCAGTTGAATATTGTAATGATTTCCCTGTGAGGAGGGGATGTGGCACATGTGAGGACAGAGCAGAACCCCCTGGATCCTGTCTTCGTGTGTCTGGAATCTGCTCACCTCCTCTCTCTCCCCCTCTCTGGTCAAAAGAGGGGGTGGGGGCTCTCACCACAGTGTGCGTTGTGCCTGGTCATCACAGCAGATTCTGCGCAAATTTGGTCAGAGAGGAGGGAATGGAGCCTGGCTGCTGCCACACCCGGCCTTCCTCCTCTCCTCCATGGCCACGGCACTGTGAGAGCTGGGAGTGTTTCCATGTGAACAGAGCACTGAAGAGAAATTGACGTGTGTAAGCATTATCACTCTGTTTCACACATCCTCATTGGCAGCAACATGCCGGTGTCTCTGCCAGAACAGGGAATTGGCATAGGTAAATTAGACTGGAGCTTGGCGTATTTATTGATATTTACCAACAGCAGTGACTGAGTGGGATTTAAGCAGGAAAATACCCTCTTTAATATAAAAGCTATTCAACAGTGTAAGGAGGGAATTAAAAAAATTTAGAAAAGGCTGAAGAATGGGAATTTTCTGTTGACAGATTGGATGTATTCAATCATTCATACAAGGAAGGAGCCGTGTGTAGGGTGGGGTTGTAGCTCTCGCCGGTGCAAGGCTGCATGCCGGTCGCCTGTGGAGGAGAGAGGGGGAGGGAGAAGAGGGGGATAGGTTCATCACAGAGAGAGAAGGAGGGGGTGAAGAGAAGGAGGGGTTTTAAAGGGTGGTCTTGTAGTCATTGTTAGCCAGCAAGTCAGAGAGAGGCGCGACCAGGCAGACAGTGAGTGTGTGTGCAAATTGTGATGAGTAAAAGCATTAGGCGACTCAGCTGTTGATACAGCCAGTGAGCGTGTGCGAGAGCGCGAGAGCGAGGGAGTGAGAGAGAAGTGTAAGGCAAAAAGGAAAGAAAGAAGGGAAAAGAGAAAGGATACTACAAGTATGCTGTGCTGCATAAGAAGAACAAAACCGGTAACTGCTTTCTTTACAGATTCTCTCATTTATATCTGTCATTTTCAAAATGTGTAAATTGTTCAACTTTTGGACTAATTACTTCAGTAACTGATCTGAGGATATGCTTGTCTCATTTTCTTGTCTTCTTGGCTCACTGGGACTTCAGTGATGTCTCGGATGGAAAACGGACACGCCTTGTTAATGTAATTATGTTTGAATGAGTGTAGTAGCCACAATGCTTCCAGACCTCACCCTGTAATAGCAGTAAGATGAGCCTGTAACATGATGCTGAGGTCTTTTATACTATTATCGATCCACTACTTTAAACACTGAAAGATGTATTGATAGACACTTGATGCACCTGTTTGCTGCCTTCTGGGATTGCCTTACCTGCTTTGTACTGTAATCATGAAGACTGGGGATACCACCTCCATTGAGCACAATACTGTCTTATTACCTTAAGGCTGCTCTTAATTGATGCACTAATAGCCGCAAAAAAAAAATATATTTCGGTTTTATCTCTAAGAAATAAGAGGATAGAGAAGCATGTTTGCTGAGGAAAAAGGGTGGGGTAAGGATCCACTGACTAAGACTCAACTCCTCTGGCACGGTGTCTCCAGGGACTACAATAGGAATAAATGAGGACCTTAAAGGGATTAGCACGGCTCTGGGGTTAAAAGTGTATAGTGTCAATTAGGTCTACACATGTTTATGGGTGCATAGTTGTGAAAAAGCAGATTAATACATACAAGAGAGCTGCTTTCTCAGAAAAGGAAGGTGTTGTGAATCTACGGGTTGGTCTTGGAGGTGTACAGTAGGAGATAATACCTTGATGTAAGTAGCTATCAGAAGGTCTTTTTAATTAGCACAGAGCTATCTATCTGCAGAAGCTATCAAGAGTATCGGAATTTTATCGGCTTCATAAAGCACTGGATTCCATCAACACCTGATTGCTGCTTAAATGTCAGCATGTATGAGTCATTTTAGCTCAGCCAGGCTGCACATTGCAATGAAGTGGGTGAGGCATCCCTCTTTCTCTCTCTCTCACACAGCTTTAATACTGCATTAAACCCTATCTCCACACAATGCTGCTATCTGAATCATACACTACACTTACCACAGGGAAAATCGTCTCCCATGCAGCAACCAGCCCTTTCTCTGCTTTCTGATTATGAGGACTGGATAATGAATGAATGAAGTCTCTGGGATTTAGACGGATGAACAGAAAGCATATAAATGGTGCAACAAGAGAGATTGCTCTCAGCATGCTGTTAAAAGCACAGAGAGCTACACACCCATGTAGCAGCATCAGTAGCAGCAACCGGCTTTTTCAACGGAGCCACCAGCCCTCGCTGTCAGACCAGCCGTGATTGTGGAGCCTTTGTTCAAGGGAGAGAAAGCAGACTAATTTAATTAAATAAGGGTGTCTATTATGGCTGGATATTATTTGGTTGCAAACATCCTTCTTGGGGCCATCGAAAACATGTACAACACTGCTCATCAATTCACCGTCCTGGGAATAAGGCGTGTGTCGGAGAGGCATGGGGCTGTGCGGATAGGTGAATGTATTCTCCTCCACCTGAACCCCCCCCCCTCTCCTGCAGGAGGAGGGAGAGGAGAGGAGACAGCTGGATGAAAGGGTGTGGTGCTGTGCGAGTGGGTAGTAGCAGTTCAGGGAGAATGGGGGAGATTCAGCTGCAGACTGCAACCCTGCCTGCATGCTTGCTCTCTAGTCTTTCTCATTCCCATCTACTAGAAAAACAGACATATATCATGCTGGGATGTATTCAAGGATATACATTTACTCTACATATTGCGACAGACACAATATATTTATTGGCAGACTTTTTTTTTACCGTCTCCCTGTCTGGTTTCAGTGGTCGTGTGTAGGTTACACTGTGAGAGCCAAGCTATCTTTTTAATACACACACTGATTTAATTGAAACACACATACAGATAATTTGTGTTGGTTTACTGAGATAAAGGCAATATAAGCCTACCTCA